CTAATGGCACCAACACTACTGGCCTTTTACTTCCGGATGCTATCGCAGCTGACTGGCCCTTTCTAGGAGTTTAACTGTGAGTAACGTTTTGAGAATCTCCGTAAATATTGTTGATTGGTGTTCTTCTTATAAGACATCTTTTCTCATGCACATGCACTTCAGAAATGATATTTAAGCGAAACATCTTCAAAGCCGCCTTTCCAAGTGTTCGAAATATGCATTCAATTCAGGTAGCTTGCCAATCGGATTCTCCAGAAGACAGTTGATCCAGTCTGGTGTGAACGACAAGGTAGTGTTTCACACACCTGTGACGCAAGTCACACGCGCTGTACACAGTGTTGGGTCAACTGAGGCATGTTGAAACACTGTCACTTCTGATCCTGTGGAATGGGAAGGAGGAATTTCAAGAGGCTTAGAATCGAGCACTGTATTAACTCTGGATAGAGATCAACGAGAACTTTGTCTGAATTCCACAATATCGCACAATGGGACTATGCAAGCATAGCCAATTCACCAGCAATTCAGAACCTGAGACTATAGATTCACTATCTCATGTAAATACAGAGTAACATTCTCTCCATAGTTCTGTTTCTTTTTATAGAGTTTCACGTCTTAGTTTATAACTTGTTATTGTTATCATCATCATTTTGTTGAACAAACACTTCACCATATTTCCACCAGCTTTCTTCTTCTTCTTTCATTATGTACAATCAGATTGTGATGATTAGGTTATTTCCCACATTTATCACGCAATTTCAACTTCCCTTAATCCAATCTCCATTCATTCACTCATTCCCTCCTAGTTTGAAACTCACAATACGTGGCACATTTACTGGAACACAATTACTACTAGTATCGGATTGGTGTTATGAATTCTCTCTCTCTTCAATATATGTAGACCTAAACTAATAGCGTTGTACATTTGACAAACGAAAACCTTCCATCCACTTCCACTTTCCTGGAAAGGATTTTTTCTGACTCACCCATCTACTTCTCACCCAACATAAAATTTCTGTTTCTATCTGCATCCTGATTACAACTCACTTTTTGAATTATTTAACTCATTGCGTAATCCTATCACCGCCTTATCCAACTTCTCACACGTATTGATTAATATCAGCAACTATTTTCATGATGATTCATCCCTTTCTTAACATTCAACTTTACGGAAGACAAATCGTTGAAAAGAGATTCCCCGCTAGAGTGCTCATCTTGTTTCTGTAAAAATGGTTCGTCGAAAGGAAGAATTATCCTTTTGCTACTGCGACTTCTTCTTTATGATTCAACATATGAATTTTCCGTTCGTCTTCAAAAAGGACGATTAGAACTTCGTGCTTTCAAATGAATGCATCATTCTCTTTTCTCCTAGTAATCCCGTTTGGACAATGAAGTAGTATGCCCATGATAAGACGTCTACGGGAAGTACCAACTTCTTGTTCCCACAACTCTGACAGGATAAACTCTAAATAAATTTTCTAACCTGTCATATCTCAGATGTAGTTATGCCTCACGCTGCCTAATTAGATGTTCGTGTGAACCAACATTAAATGATACACTGTACAGTGGACATAAAATTCATCATCTTGTCGAATAATTAGGGACTATCACAACACACAAATATGCCACTCCCTCGTCCTCCCACCTCTTTATACTGCCTTCTTTTGACATCTTCAATGACGTTTCCACATACTGAGACAGGCTCAATCCTCAGCTTGTAGTCGCCTCCCAAGCACATGTGTCGACTAAAACTGAACGTCAACGCACCCAATGTTACCACAGATAGAAATATACACCTATGATGGCCACCAATTTCAGCTGCAATCGCCGAACTTCTAAGGAATAAATGCATACAAGTTCTATAATCAATGGCATAGAGGGACAATTACACTGACAAATTACAGCTGCAACTCTCGCTACTCTGACTAATAGTCACTGGTCTATCAAACTCCAACTAATACTACTCGACACAAGAGATACTTCAAGGAGTGATATTCCATGCTGTGTTTCTGCATTGGTCTGTGAAACAACAAATGTGAGATGTCTTTTCATCAGATAGAGAAATTCCACACAACGCGGCTAACTACGCTGAGTTATTAGAGCAATATATCACCGAATTAGAAACATAACACCTCCGCGACCTTTGTGAACCCCAACAGCATATTACAAACTCCAACATTGTCTTCATCGGAAGGGATGGTATTCAGTGTCAATTATAACCACGTCAAGACGACTCACTCAGGTACAAATGACAATGATCACCGAACAGCGAATAGACAAACTACACATGGTCACTGATGATGGTAAACTTGCATCACAGAAAGTGATTTCCAACATCTAATCGAGCCAACGTCCAACCCTCCTAACTGCGAAACCTGTTAGAATAACTCGATCCTCCGACAGAGTGACTTCATCGGGACATTACGTCCACATACTTACAAGTTAAACTATTCTGATTTTCCCCTCAAAATAACCACCTGATTGACCAGTTCTGTTGTTATTATCATCACCATTCACTTGACTTCTGAATGGCACAGAGGTCTTCAGCCGCGTCACATCTTCATTTCACCCTGCTCTCTCTCTCTCTCTTAGATGGCTCAAAGAAGGTCCTTTCTTCATCGTTTACTCTCTCCTTACACGATCTCTTTCATGTCACAATCAGACGCCCTCCTTGGTGTTTCCCATTCCGATGGCCTGGTGCACCCTGTCCCTCAGGCTAGTTGTTACACTACTCTCTTCCTCTTCGTCTAACACTATGATTACTTTACTATACGAAAATTCTCGGCATACTGTCCAGATTAATCCATCTAATGATCTCTCTCTCTCTGGCTGTCTGTACGAACCTCATTTGATTAAATAGCTAAGGGATCTCAGGTTAACTCTTATCACCTCTCATATTATCTGTCGCTATAACTGCTGTTACTATCAAAAGTAGTATCGTCGCTACTAATATTATATTATAAGTAATGACTGTTTCACACATCTCTCCATGTCGAACTCTATACGCCAAACACTTTCTCAACCTTAGTGTTTTGTATTTATGCGCACCAATTGTTCAATAACAAAACCAACTAGCAGAGTTGACAAAAAGTCAATTCCACATCCAGTCAGGTAGGAAAAACACTTGCAGTGGTATTGTAACAGTAGAAGACAAGAGACTTCGTGACTTTCTAGGGAGATTATGTACACCCTTTATGCAAATCGTTATTTGCACAGATCTTCTGTGTTAGTGTGCTACTTCTGCCCTTCATACTGTGCGTTTCTTTGTCTTCCTTTCATATCTCCCATGAATTCGCGAAATACTGGTTGGTTCGCTTCCTCTCTTTGGCGTAAAATCGATCCCTCCACCATTCGATATTTTTGTGCTGACGAACATCTCTTTATATACTACTGATAAATCTTGTCAGTAACACACACCACACCATGGCTAATTTGCATTTACACTTACAAACAAACCAACGTGTAGCGTGTAACTCACTAGGAATAAACACACCCACTGTGTGCGTGTGTGTGTGAGAGAGAGAGGAAACAGAAGACAAAACTGATTGGATAAAAAGTCAATTTCGTGCACCATCAAAATCACACCTCCATGCGTTCCTCATTAGAAGAAAGGAAACTAGCCAAGAAAGAATCAGTTATAACAACATAGTTCTTAGGACACAATTAATTCATGAACGGTGACGTCTTTTCAAATGGGAAGAGGTACACATCGCCTATTCAGAAGCTTGTCCCACGACTTTTATCAAAAACGCTAGCCAGCAGTGACACATACATCCACATAAGAAAGCAACAAGCACATGTTGTTTCACAGAGGTTATTATTCTTGCTAATGATGCTATGTACACACGATACAGTAAAAACACTCATCGTTTTGAAAATAACAGTAATAAAAATAAAAGTACCAGTACAAAATATTATTAATAATGATAATGATGATAATAAACAACCGCCTGAAAGACCCCATAAGAATTTTAGTTGGTCCCTTGAAATAATTATAAAACAACACAGTTATCACAGAGAAGCTTTGACGTTGTAATGGTCGTCATATCTGGAGATTTCTTCAGAGAAAACTCGATCACCTACAACAGAGAAATATGATGACATCGATAGCGTTTAAAGTATAAACAAAGAAGACGCTAAACAGGTACACAATGCAATACAATACAATACAAGATACACTCATTCCAGTCGCCGAATGTGACAATATCTGTGAGAAAAATACGAAAGCCATACAAAAGTTAGTCAGTCAGTCACGCACTTAACAATATCGCCTAGGTGGTCTTACTGCATCGGTCGTGTAGCTGTAGAATTCTCGCCAACGACACATGCGGCCTGGGGATCGATCCCCAGTTGATGCACGCACTCCTAAACCTCAGTCAGTTGCCAGCTCATCAAACAGGAAAGATTCGGCGTCAGGCTAGTTACCCCCACCTCATGAAATTAAATTCACTACACTACTGAAACTTCAAACTCCAAGATTGTTCCACGCAAAGCAATCAAATTAAAAAAATAATAATACCTAAATAATCGCATGCTTACACATTGAAGCTAGTCACTTCAGTTTACTACTTTTTCAAGAGTTACTTCCCAGGGATTGGATTTCCCTCAAATTTCATCACGAACTAACAAATCAGTTAGAGAACCACTGGAGACCAAGCAATATCAATATCAATAGTTATTTCGTCCTAGTACACGACTAATCGGCTGTCTCCACCCATCACCCTACACATGTAGGAGTAGGAACCAGTCAGCTTCTTCGGTAGGAACTCAACAGCGCATCAATACTTACTTCTATCACTGCGATTTCAGCGAGATTGCCAGCCAATCAAATTTCATGCTGTAGCCAGTCACGAGTGAGCATTTTGCGCCAAAATTTCGCCAACTTAAGTCAGTTAAGTAATAACAGCCGAACTCACCGCTCATTTCATCAGCATCCCTAATATTTCCATGCAAGTCAATCCAGTCTTCACTCAACCATCCAAATCTCACAATAGCTTACACTATTAGGCTTCATCCATTGTACTGGTATTATCGTTAGCCAACACTGAATATTCTACCCTGAGGTAGAGCGACAACAAACTGAAAATATGCACAAAATTCTCCAGTACTAAAAGATTGCCGGAACCATAAATCACTTTCCTTTTTGAAAGTGTATTGGTACTCAAGTTTCAAAGGGTGAGTGGTCTTGAGAAATGATTATCATATGTATATGGTGCATGTAGGGCTGACGGCACGGGCCATTCAAACAGATTGGACAATGTTACATTTCGTCATCAGTTATAGAGATCATTGGATACCATAACCGTTTCGTCCTCATTTGGGACTCCTCGACAGTACAGTACTCACCCGTGACCTCAGCTGCGGGGACCAAAATCAGGAGCTACCTGGTTACAAAACCAAGTCCACTGACCATGCAGTTACTTGGGCGGGGATTCATTGACCTGTAAATTCTAAGTTCGTCAAGTTAAGGTATAGTGCTGTCGTCTCATTAGTGCCATCGATGAGCATCCATCTGACTTCGACATGGTAGAAGTCAACCTCAATGGTCACGACTTCTCATAACAGCTTCAGGACATTGGTCATCCAGTAACCATCAATCGGATAATCTACACAGAGGATGGTCAGGAGACTGTCGCCCAGGTTTATTTGCAACTACTTTTATGTAAAAAAAGACTTCTACAGTAGATAAATTCAATAACACAAAAAAAGCAAATACACGATTTGGAAATGGTACACTTACCTAGAATAGTTAAAAATATTTGTATTAGGAGCATACTCATAACTTAATAAATCATAGACAGATGGACGTTGTTCATAGTCCCGGGATAAGCAATATTTTAACGCCTTTAAGAAAATAGTAAGGATAAAACATTAAAGATGCAAACAATTATGCATAAACCTCATGGTGCATAATTACGCTTTTATGTAAGCTACAGTACAAAAGACGTGAAAAAATTGATGCTTCTTACGGAGTTTTGAGTAAAAATTAATTCTTACCTACCTAACTGCCACTGCCTAATACTAAATTATCACTTCAACAATGGTTGGAGATTGACCTGGCATCAGTTAAGAAACCATTGGAAAACCACCTGAGAGTACTGGACAGTTGAACCGTCGGTGGCACAGTGGTTAGGACTCTCGCCGACCATGCACATGGTCCGAGGTTCGATCCCCTGCCGACGCACACCTGATATCTATGGTCGGCCTGCAAAATTTGGGCTACCGATATCAAAGCTGAAAATTCCATACTTGTACTAAAAATACTGTGTGGCATCAAGCTGTAACCAAAAATATAAAAAAAATATAAGAGTCTCAAACTAGGACGAAACAGCTGTCCAGTACTCCACGCAGGTTTTCCAGTGGTTCTCTAACTGATGTCAACTCATGACGAAATCCTCCAACCAATCGAACAAAATCCCTGCAAAACCAATACTTGAAAATCACTTGAAGAGTAAAGCCAATGGGTATTTGGGGGAGGAGAGGGAAGGGAAGAGACGGAGAAATGCAGTTTCAGGAACTTAGAGAGATATCTCTTCAACATAAAGTAAGTAAAAAAGACTCATTCTCATACACACAATTACCCTTACAAATTGATCCGACAACAGATCATGGATGTGACTGATCTACTGCACACAATTGACACCAGAAAGTGCTCTGTTGCTTTACTTCTTTGGAATACCTACCTAAGTGTATTTACTGAACTGACGGAAATGACGACAGGCGTCCAGCTGTCACAAATTCATACCACACAGTAAATACTTTATACTTCAATAAAACACAGTCAGACAGCTATCCAGACAGAAAGACAGAAACACACACACCCAAAGAAATATTTCTCAAGGAGGAGAAATAATTAAGAAATATGTGTCATTACATCACGCAGAGCTCGTGAGAATAATTCAACAATCTAATACTCGTAATCAATCAACAATGGACGAGTTTATTCGTTACACACACAGTTCACAGATTTGCTGTCTGACTAAAATTCCAACTAGAATACTGGTGTCACTGAAGAACACACCAACGTTCAAAAATAAATATGTTCACACTTCTGATTTGTGGGACGGAACAGTTAACGCGATAGTCTCACACCCAACCTTCCCTCTTTGTCGAGATTATAACCAGCTAAGGGCCGTAAAGGTGTGTGTCGATCGGGACTCGAACACCACCCCCCGACCACGTGCATGGTTGTTGGCCAGTATTCTAACGCCACCACTGAACCATCGATGCACGCAATACAAGATAGTTAATAATAATCATAATAATCTGACAACCAAATTTGGTGGGCAGAGAGTGGATAGTGAAGTTGAGATGGTCAGTAGAAGTGATTACGTCAACAAACGATGAAGTAAATTGGAAGACTATAATAATGAGTTCAGTTCAGTTCAGTTCAGTGAGTTGTTATCCAAATAAGTTGTGATGACGCAATAAAGACATAGAAGCAGAGTAGAAATTGTAATATTATCATAATAATAAGAGGTCGACTGAAACTGAAAGAGGGTCAAATGTGATAAGGAGTAGAAATGTAGTAGTGGTGAAAAGACAGAAGAGCTTTAATAGAATTAAAAATCACAGTTAAGTAAATCGGAAGTCGATAATGATGAGTTCAGATCAGTGATGCCACAAAATCGACACAAAAACTGGTTTCTCCATAGGCGTTACGAACTTCAGTCTTGACATTTCTTCTCCTCTCCTACTCTGATATCTAGATATGTCAACTGTACTTCTATGTCTTTATTGCGTCATCACAACTTATTTGGATAACAACTCACTGGACTGAACTGAACTCATTAATATAGTCTTCCAATTTACTTCATCGTTTGCTGACGTAATCACTTCTACTGACCATCTCAACTTCACTATCCATCCTCTCCTCACCAAAATTTCATTACACGATGGTTCAGTGGTGGCGTTAGAATGCTGGCCAACAACCATGCACGTGGTCGGGGGGTGGTTTTCGAGTCCCGATCGACACACACCTTTACGGCCCTTAGCTGGTTATAATCTCGACAATGAGGGAAGTTTGGGTGTGGAACTATAGTAACCCCAATCCCGTAAAAAAAATTAGTATTTAGACGACAGTGAGTTACAAGTGGCGAATGCTAACATTGTTTAAACATATATGTAAGTTGTACAAGTGAAACTTCTCAACACTGTGCATCCATCATTTCAGAATCTCATGTCATCTTTCACCTTTCGAAATATGTTAAAATAATTTCTCTTAAGACAGGTCAATTAAAATGATACAATCTTATTCTGAACAAACTGTGCTTTTATTGCTTTATTCAGATTTACAAACAAGAGAATAACAGAGTGTGAGTGCGAAGAAACGTCAGCGTATATTACAATGTGTTGAAGGAAATGAATTTTCAAAGCCTACAACAAAACACCTTGTCGGCGACCATACCACGTTGAAAGCACCGGTTCTCGTCCGATCACCGAAGTTAAGCAACGTTGGGCCCGGTTAGTTTTTGCATGGGTGACCGGCTGGGAATACCGGGTGTCGCCGGCTTTTGTGCGTCGGTGGTATAGCGGTTAGGACGCTCGCCAGCCATGCACATGGTTCGGGGTTGGATCCCTGGTCGACGCACTCCTTTACCTCGCTGAGCCAAAAATAATGCTGGTGAAGAGGAAAGGTTGGGCATGAGGCTAGCAACCCCATCCTGTAAAATAAACACTGCTACAGAAACTTCAAGCCACTATCTTGAAGCCCTATGTTCCACTGGGGAACGTGAAGGAAAAAAACCAAAAAAAAACAATTCACCATCATGTCTTATATAATCTAATCTAGTCTAGTCTAGTCCACTTGTAACATCCATATACAACACAGAGAAGGTGAATGACGCTTACAGAACCACACATCATTGTCAACTTTGAACTGAGTCATCAATTGTAATTCACCTCCTTCCCTAAAGTTTGTATGAGTAGATTATTATAATCATCATCACCATCCTCATAGTCCCGATGACACTGTCTGGCGCGTTAGCCTTGCATTCAATACACTACTTTTGATGATAAACACATACACACAACTAAGTCAGTTGCTTTCCTCTCCAAAAAATAGAATTTCCTTTTACAAAGTAATTTGGAGACTGATTCAACACAACGGAGTACCCACCCACCACAAAAAACACTTTCCAAAAGAATTCAACAGCTTTATATGACGACGCTACGTATCAAGAGATAACTCAGTGAGGCGTTTCAAATAAACAGAGAAGAGAAAACAGTGTCGTCACTTGCTTCATCCAAGAAACCATGTGGAACGTGAAGATGGGCATACTTTGAATCGCTAAGAACACTCAAGAAACTTGGGCATCGTCGGTGATTTATGTCTAATGCCACACACTAACTGAAACTATCTACAAGAGTAAACCAACATGCTGGCTAAAGAGGCAGGCATCAAACGCACAAATTCAAGTCAACACATAGGAAAAACACTGCTGATGAAGATAACCAATCAACAACAACAACCAACCAACCACCAGTCACTATCACAACAAAAGGCATTTCAACCACGTCACCAACATTTCCACTTACTTAACGAAGCAACACCACCATAGTCTCAACTACAGTCGCCCACATCACATGAAGATGTCAAATCCAGGATCATTCTGATATATAGTCACATGATGTCTGCTTTGTTTTGACAGTCTGATATATTTTACTATGTGCTTTTACAATATGCTTTGTCTGTCCATTAACTAAATAAACAATGCAGGACCTTTTGTCACATGACATTACAACCAATCAGAATCCAATGGCGGTAAGAAAATCTACTATCTGTCTAATTGGTTCATGTATGTTAGTTATTTTCATATATATACTCTTGTAGTGTACAGTCAATACACACTTTCACACCTTTAGTACTGTTTAGTACTTTTCCACTCACACTCTTGTGTGACAGTTAATTTTCCTTGTTGGAAAATACACGTATCATCGTGAACGTGGTGATGTTCTGATTTGCCTATTCGCGTCAGGACAAGTTAGTCAGTAGTCAGCAGTACCAGTCTGTACGTTATCGTCCGTTATATCTCACTAGTGCATATTTACACTCGGTCACACCATAATATCGGCAACGACCCCATAACTTATTGACGATGACTACATAACACATTCATTAATCTCAAATCAGTGTGCAAGTGTCTCATCCCACAACTAAGCATCAACAACAACATTCAAATTTTAAACACCAATGTCAAGTCACTTCGTGCTTTCATATTGCTTCAGAGACTGACTTGACGTGTGCGTCACTGAAAGTATTTGCAACACACAGACTACTGATGACTTTCATCAACAGATGACATGTTCATTTCGCTGGTTCCATACTAAAGATTATCTGATGGCCAGCTAGCATATGCCAGTTTACCCAGTCTCTGGAGTAGACGTGATATCCGGCTGGCTGTCGACCAAGTGGTGTGTGTACTGCTCAGCAGTCCGCTCCGTCCTCCTTTATGGCTGTGAGACCTGGCCATTATAAGTGGAAGACATGAAAAGGCTAGCTGTCTTTGATCATATGTGCCTGCGTTCTATCTCCCGTGTAAAGTGGTATAATACGGTGAGCAATATTGAGGTTAGGCTTCGGTCGAGTGCTAGGTAGGTAAGGAGGGGAAATCAATCGACGAGGCTGTGAAGTTACATCGACTGAGATGGTTAGGAAATATGTTACGCATGTCTAGCCATCGCCTTCCTCGACGGGCGGTGTTAGCTGAGATAAGATGGATCAGGTTGGAAAAGAACTAGTTGTGATCAAAACAAAACATGGCTTCATCAGTCAATGAAATCCACAACAGTTAGTTTAAGCCAGCCACACAGGAAGGTGTAAACTTCCTGGTTGAGGTCCTCGGGATGGTAAAAACCAGTGGCTGGAGACAGTCGGTGATATGGCTCAAAATCGTTCTCAATGGCTGGCGCAGATGCATCCACTCCTTATGACTTATAATACCCAATGAAACTATATTATTCTTCGTTAATACTATTCCTTTTGTCTCATATCCCTGACTACTGTGTCTATTTGGAATCTCTTTTTACTCTCTTCTCTTGCTTTGTGTGCTACAAGGAGGGAGTGTGGCAACACTTGAACTGCTGAACATCGGTGCGAAATTCTATGTTGAAACCAGCCAGTCAGAGAGGATAATCAATGGGGAACTGTGGAAATAGACCAACTCGTAGCCTAACAAATATCACAAAGAAAGTTGAGATGAATAGGACACACGTTGAGTGGCATTGCTCACCATCCGGTAGAAGGTCAGTGGGAAACGAAGTGTTAAGCGTCGTAGGTCGGCATGAAGAGGATCGTTGGAGCGGGAGATGACAGCTAATGAGTATTCGTGGAGTCAGATATATAGGATAAAATGGAGATGTGCTGTTTACTACTCAGAACCTGGGGGGAATAATAATAACAATAGGTTAGCCAAATTTCACAGCTCCCCCATTCCCTTCCGAATATTTGGCTTATTCTTCCTCACTTTCCCATATTTTTCTGAATAATCCAGTCAAAGCCATGACAAGAATCTTACAACCATCTTTAAAAAGGGCCGGGAGTGAATTTTCTGGCTCTGATGCCTTATGACTCTTCAACACTTGCAGTTCCTTTCGGATCTCCGCTTCGATTAGTGGGTCGGTATTGACCTATCAGGAAGCACTGTAGCTGATGACGGTGGGTGCTGGCGCTGGTGACCAGCCAAACTGCATCCAAAAGTCCTCTGCTCAGCGTTCCAGGAGTCTATCAGGCTAATAATGGTGTCCTATCTTCCTCATAGATCGTCTCGCCGATACCTCGCTCCCTACTTCAGCTGGCTCGGATGAGCTGGAACGGCTTCCGGGTGTTACCAGATGCAGCTTCTGATTCCAGCTCGCACGCATGTTCTGACCACCAGGCTTCGCAGTCCTTAAGTAAACACTGTTTATTCTATAGCGTAAGCGTCTTTCGCATTTTGTTGTACTCGCTGTCTGCCAGAATGGACTGGCGTTCATCCAGGAGTTGAGTGGAACTCGCAGAAACCCAGTGGTTTTTAACGCAGCATTCTTTCAAGCCGCAAGGGGCTTCATTCCTCCTTATACGTCTTTTGTGATCCTGCGAGTAAAAAGCGCGGAGTCAGTAACTTATAGTACGGAAAATCCCTACAACCTCCTGTTCTTATTCATGTGAACTGTGATCAAGGTTTGACCGAATAGTTCCGAAATAATTGGGCGCCGAATGAGATTTTTGAAAAATAATTTTTACAAACGTCTTCTTCTTAGTTCAAATACAAACACACACACATTACACTTACTTTGTGAATCGATGTATTTCTAATCATTGGGAAAGGAATTTCGTTATTCGGATCGAGAATTGCTTGGATACGTGCTTCTACTGATTCCTGTTGAAACGGTGCCTTCCCATAAACCATCAGATACAGGATTACTCCCAACGACCAAACATCAGACCTCCTACCAATCTTTTAAAGCAAAGAAAAGTGTTCACGGAAAGTTGGAAAATTAAATAAATAAATAAATAGAAGAAACGCTAACATCCAAATAAGTTACAAAGGAGTCAAATGCCAGTCGAAAAATATCCTCACAACCAACAACCAGTTTATGAGTATGCAAACGCACGACCAGGACAATGTTTCTCCACGTTATTCTTCACGGATAAACCACCTTCTGAAGGAAAAACAGAAGATGATTTGATTATTTTTCTTCAGGATACTTAAATTTGTTTACAAAGAAATCGATTGATGAGCTTGTGAAGCTGCATCGATTGTGGTGGCAACGTCATGTGTTGCGAATTCCGAAACAACCATTGCCTTCCCCAGTGAGTAAAGTTAACTGACATACGTTTGGGTCGGAAGAGAGTTAGGAGTGGTCTTTAACAGTTGGTTTGAGCTTGGCGTTCATCCCTTGACAACACACATAACGCAGAGGATCGTCGTACTATGTTTCCCTCCAGTTGTGGGACACGTGAAGGAAATCGATGTGGTTCAAAGTGCGACGTTTAGGAGATTTGGAGTTAGGATAAATATGATTGCCACGAAGAGATTTCCAATACCACTTCGGATATCTATGGTTATTTATGCAATTTCTGAGAATATCAGTCTTCACATTGACTTCAGCAAGCTTGACAGAATAGCACAGAAACCCACTAAGTTCCTACACTGTTAAAGCGTCCTTGCTAATTTTTAATTCACGGAAAAATACCAATCCAGACATAAATATAAGAGAAAAAAAGTTCAGCGAAGCGTCTCTTTTCGGCGAATAACCCTAACTAATTTTCATTTTTGTCTGACAATACTAATGTGCACACACACACACAAACAAAATAATTATATATACATGCAATTGTACAGCTATTTGAATAAATTCGCTCAAAATCGTTCTCTCCATTATATCCTTATGATTTTCCATATTGCTACTTTTTTCTGCCGTACATATCGGCTCCCTATCATTCATTCGAATTTCTTTCGCCTAGTCTTGTTTAGTGATGCATGTAGTGTGGCAACTTGACCATCTTGCATTCCTGTGCAAAGTTCTATGTTTTGAAGCCCAATCGGTGAACAAATAGCAACTCTCGCGTCAACACATTACACGATAAACGAAGAAATACATGTTTTAATTAACTACAGGAGTTAAAAAAACAAAACAAAGTGATAACGGTCATCGTCACCACTTTCAGAAATCCACATTATGCAAATAGCTAACCGAAAAACAACTAGGAGGGCATGAATACTCAACACCACCAAAAACTTTCGTGCTCCTAATATGCTTTACAAACAGTATCCATCTGTAGTAAAAGAAAAACCCTCAGGATAAATACTAACTAATGTCGCTCCCTGATAAGACCCAGAATAAAATAGTATACCATCGCTTCTCACGAATCGGCCGATTAATCATGTGATGGTGTTACTATGTTAATGTGTCATTTCTCATGCATTTTGTGATTTAGTGTGTGTGTGTCACCAATTCATCGTCTTTTGTCTCACCTTGGTCTTTGTCTGATCACCACCAACCAATCAGGATAGATATTTCCAACCAATAAGAACAATACAACATTCCCACGGTCGTCAGCCGACTTTATTATGGCAGAGAAAATGTATAAATACCATATGTTGTTTCTTAAACTATATAGTATAGTAAAATAACAATATCTTACAGTCACAGGCCAGACTTTGTCTTTTGATATTTGCGTGGCTCAGTGAATCAGAATGCACAACGAACAAATAGACAGATTAGCATATCAGTCGAGTTCATTACCGTTATAGTAATTAACAGACATAATCAGACATAACTAAGTAGCAACGCGTCTATTCAGTTCAGTTTACAACAAATTGGCAACGGAGTTATAACACTCCCTTAACCCAACTCTCTCTAACACAAAGTAAAGCAGCAGTATGTGCATAGAAGTTGGTTTTCACATTCTGATAAGCGAGTAGTAAATGCTTTCTGAACGTCTTGAAAAGTGACCATCCAATGTCACAGTGTATTGGATACACAGCTTAGAACTTTCGTCTTGTTCTCTGCGTTGACAGTAGAACATAGATCTTCAGGTTGTGAAGTTTCAGCAGTAATAATAATAATAGTAGTGGTGTTGTAATCTTCATGCCTACACTCCTTCCCCCTCCTTAACAAACCTTCTCTCTTTACCGAATCTACTAACACTAACAGCTGGTAAATAGGACAGGTGAACGAGCGAGTGAATCAGATGGGAATTCAACTCATATGTCCCCCCTAACCCTTAGTGTAGTTCCGTCAACCTAAACCCGGTGCATAGGGCATGGCATTAGGTAATCACTGAATTATGTGTAAGCAGGAAAAAGCATAACACATGAGTCCTTTATTTGCAGGTGCTCGACAGTCCAATAACTATATGAGAACATTTGTTTAAGACGCCCAGCTTTCAATTTTAAGCAAACGAAAAGAGCTTTTCCAGATAATCAGCAGTAGGTATAGTTCCACAGGCTTTTTTGCATTCAACAGTAAGGTATACCTGAAATCTCATCTGTGACAATGGTCACACAACTGAACAACCGACAAATAGGTAAAATCACATCATCACACTCGATGCAAGTCAAGCACGTGTAAGGCTGAAACAAGCTACTTGATATACTTGACAGAATTTCTTTCTTCCCTGAAAACGAGATATCTAATCACATAATCTACCATTCATCCATATGTTCACTTCATATTGAAGTTTGCGATGAGGACGGTCTTCATAAAAGATAATTAACGAAGCTTAGCAACTAAATCACCCGATTCAGAGAACACAACCACATGAAAAGTATACACACCTAAGCTACAAATCTTCTCTACCATTACTTCTATATTTATAATGACAATGTCTCTAGCGTTGAGCTATATGCACCGGTGTTTCAGTTGTAAGATGCTAAACAACCGCGCCTAGGGTTGGAGATTCGATTCCCCGCCGGCACACTTTCCCACCTCCACCTCCCTAGTTTACTAACCGACAGTACCTCTGGGAAAGAGGGAAGTTTAGGAGTAAGCATAGCAAGACCCACCACGTAAAACCAACACAACAGTCACTGGAATCTCAAGGCTTCAAGAAGTCTAGACACCCAGCCTTATGTTCCAGCCAAAACTCAAGGGAATGTAAAACAGTTATTGATCTGTTGTTGATTTCTCCCAAGTACGTGGAGTTATCCATGCGTTGCACCGTCGCAAAAGAAAAAAACTATTACCTCACTGTTATTAGCATAATGTTCAATATTTTCACAAAACAATATGATACGATAATGAAAAGTAAAACAAGAAATAAACAGATGCATATATTAAGGAATGAATGAGATGCCAAAAATATGCATCATGGTGCAACAAACCTTAGGTAGATCAGTCTTTTTCTCCATTATAAAATGATAAAATAGAAAATCTCTGTTGTACTTCACCGGTCTTGTTAATCGTTCTGGACTCATATACGATACAGTTCCCAAATTCACCCAATCGTCTACTGTTACTGATTCTTTTGACAATTCATGACTAAGGCTTAAATCGATTAGTTTTAATCGGTGATTAACTAAAACAAAGTTTTGCGGTTTCAAGTCTAAATGAACAATTTCTGAAAAGTGTAAAATCAAAAGAGCCAAAAAAACAAATTAAAGGGAAAAAACAACAGGATCAAATATAAAGGCAACTGTGAAAACCAACACGTTGGCCAAAGAGGCAGGCAGCAAATACACAACTTCAAGTAAACAGACAGAAAAAAACTGCTGATGAAGATAACCAATCAACAACCACCAACCACCAGTCACTATCACAACAATAGGCATTTCAACCACATCACCAATTCCACCACTACCACCACCATCGTTTCAACTACAGCCACTCGGAACACATGAACATGTCAAATCCACGATCGGAAAGACAACACACACACCCACCCACCCACTCACATTCATTAATCTCAAATCAGTGTGCAAGTGTCTCACTCCACAACTAAGCATCAACAACAACATTCTGATTTTAAACACCAATGTCAAGTCACTTGGTGCTTTCATCATATTGCTTCAGAGACTGACTTGGCGTGTGCGTCACTGAAAGTATTTGCAACATGCAGACCACTGATGACTTTCATCAACAGCTAGCTGACCTGTCCGCTTCGCTGGTTCCGTACTAAAGATGATCAGATGGCCAGTCAGAGAGGATAATCAAAGAAGAACTCTGGAAACAGACCAACTAAGAACTCATAGCCTAACAAATATCACAAAGAAAGCGAAGATGAATCGGATACATGTTCAGGGGACTGTTGAAAGACATCGCGCACCACACCAAACATACAGTGGAACCTGAGTAGGAAATGGTGAATTTAGCGTGAATTCCATGGTGAACTGGAGGAGATAAACAGATAACGGGCAATCGTGGAGTCAGATAAAGATGACAGCACAGGGGGGACAGGTTGAAATGGAGATATTCTGTCGAAATCCCCGTGTTCAACTCAGAATCTCAGGGAATAATAACACATAATAACTAAAGGCAGTCGTAACAAAATGCTTCTTGCATGCTATACTAATCTATGTAAATAAAATGACAGGAGATTAATGGTGTCACCATGGAAACCAATTACACCAATGGTCAACAACCAACCAAATGACTCGTGCTAGACTCAAACAAGAGTCGGCTAGTAGTAGCGCACGTTACCCGTGTTATCCAGATGCCTAGAGAACAACTACTCATCGTTCTTCCTACTAACTGAAATTACCTGGAAGCTGCATAGAATCGGTCTGTCCATTAAATAAGACCGTCATGGAACATCACTACATATGTTCAGTTACCCCATTCATTTATACCTCATTACTCTTCAACATGAAGACGGGTCACTAGAACTCTGATACAATTCAGAATAAGTGCAGATCATAATACTACCGCTGCTTCGCCTGTAGCACAATCGACAGTGATGTTCCATATTAATTTGTTTATTAGATACATCACACAGTGAAACAGTATTAATTACTGGATGACAAGGTTTCGAACACGAGTTATTGTTCATAATCATATCAGTTATAATCACACAACTTCGAAACTTGATATTATCATAATATCCCACTGTGCTAATCTTGAACTATCTTCCCCTTTCTTATGATACCACCAGACATGGACAGAATATATCTTGATTATGCCAGGTGGCATGACACGACATGACATGTACTGAGTGCCCGCAGAGTGCCACATTACTGACAACACGTTGGGCGTGCTAGATAGAAAAATCTTACTCCGGTTACTAGTAGGCGAGAATAAAAGGCAATGATGAAAAATGCATGACACACTAACCACCACCCAGAGAAAACTAAATATTCAATAACACTAAGAGGTTGACAAGCTTTTAAAAATTATGCTGCTAAATATGCAGTTGGTCGGATTAAAATGTCATGCGAAAGTTGACGTTTCAACATTCACATCAGTTCCATGTTTTCATGAAAGATTGACATCAGTTAGAGAACCATTGGAAATCAGGAAGTACTGGACACCTGTCTCGTCCTAGTTCCGTCCGCCCTTAGGAATGACCGAACCCAGAACCTTCGGGTGACAAGGTCAGAAGTCGTGACCGGTGAGGTTCAACGAAGTTCACTGTGATGACAAATACTTGACAATGATATTGGCTGTCGGCAGAGCTGAAACTCATGAATCGATAAAAGTTAGAATTGATGGGCAATCGGATTCCAGCCCAAATGGCTGAATGGATGAAGAGTTTGGCCTCGTTAGGGGAAGTTCCTTGGTTCGATCCTTGCAGGGTCGTACTGATGACCAGTCCTAAACTAGGTGGACGGAACAGCTGTCCAATACTCCCTGGTCCTCAATGGTTGTCGTCTACTGACAACAATCCATGATGAAAAAATTGAACAAATCAAATCCCAGAGGAGGATTTTTGAAAAGATTGTAAACAAACTTACCTAGATCATGAAGTTCTTTCACACATCTTAACATCTGATCCCAGTAGAATATAACAGCTGATGGCAGCATAGGACGGATGTGTCTCTTTGAAGACGATGTGCTACTTCCTTCAGAAGCATATTCAATAATAATTTTACTCAGATCACATTCGCCTTTCTCCATTACCAAAATAATAAGCTCCGGTGTTTGCAGACTACAGTGGAATATAAATAACAAACATTCCACATATTCATGATAGGCATTGGTGTAGAGTAAGTAGTTAAATAAATTGAAAATTTTCACAGAAAGCTTAACAGCAGTTTCTTAGCGCTGAGATTGGTGTTAACAAAAAGGATGCCATTCCCTATATCACACTATACACAACCTGTTGAATCAATGGGAATGAGGCAGGTAGTCAACTCTAAAGAAGTTCAATGTCTACACACCCGACTACCTCATAAACAACCAGGCACCATCGAAGGCAGGAAGAAGTCGGTTTTCCACTCGGAATCCTCTCATATGGCCAAGCGTTTACAGCCTGTGCGAAGAAAGTCCCATTCACTGCCTCATAGGTATAAAAGGGCGAATGACGTCTACCGATCACAACTGAACTAATAGATACCTTACTCTACCCAGAGAAGCTGGAGAACCCTGATTCTGATCCTATGGTGTACATGAGCTCCAGAATAAGGAAGGATCAAATGGCCTATGAACCTGCTTCGGTCATCTTCAACCATAGGAACGTAGCTCCTCCTGACTCCACTTCACTGCCTTGTGACGAATCAGACTTCAAATCAAAGACTCGCGGGTGGCCTCTTAAGACAACCATAATGTGCACCAATTTTGTGTTTTAACAGCGTAACAACAATTGAAAAGTCCTGGTGAACGTCGAAAAGTGTTACATGTGTACAACGAACATGAAAGCTGGTAAAACTATATTTAGGCATCATAATATGTACAGCAAGGAAGTTTCATTCAAATTGACTTTCAGATACACCCATCTTGTACAAAAGTGCTAAACAGTCCGATACCAAAACGAGTCAACAGGTACCACTTGATATCTACGCATCTAAGCTAAATAGCCAGTATAAGGGATCCTTCGTTTCATCCGAACTGCAGTCAGTGGGGCGTAGGCGGAGATTACGAAAGGCATCGGCGAGTAGTGCAGTCCTTCTCTTCTCACTGATCCGTTCAGACGGACATCACACATTCGGCTATCTACCGGATCCAGTCAAGTAATGTTTTTTCTGCCCTAGTACTCAAAGCAATCCCAACACCAGCTAATCCTCGTGAGCTAGCCGTCACATCTCCTGACACCCTCAAGGTGAATTTTGCAGATTCATCCTGTTGGCCAGGTGGGGTTAGGTGAATAACCACACTTGGGTCTTGTATGCGTGTTTCTGAAACACAACATACATCAATGGCTCGGGATGCCAGAGTCTTGGCTAGTGATGCTTGTTGTCCTATTTGGCAAAGTGTCCTAACATTAAATGCCCCTATATGAAATTGGTGACGTGGCTTTAGGAGACTATCGATGGTGGTTTTTTGGCTTCCGTCGTTTTCAGTGCACACAGAGTGAAGAGGAAGTGAAGAGCCTTCAAGTAGAGGAGTTGCATTAGTAGAAGGAAGGCAAGATAATAGAGATGAAGATGAAGACAAAGGTGAGTGACGATTAGAGAGGTTTCGCGTGCACTTCGGATTGTGAGGGCGATTGTTACTTCCCGGCTGCCTACACCGTGGAAGTTGGTTGCGTGACCGCAGAGCCCAAGGGACAACTGCTTGAGGCCGGTCACACACGGCCTGTTTTTGTTTGTTCTTTTTTATTTGGTGTGTCTCAGTAGCGTATTTATCACTTCTGCCCTGTGACACGGCAGCAGAAAGCGCGGTCGTTGTTAATCCAGGCCCCGACCGATCCGGCATGATATTTTGTGATTTATTTGAAGTCATAGGATTGGATTCAGTAACTGCTTTTAGTCTAACCGCTATCCAAACAACCTTTCTGGCATGGTAGGACCTGCAGGAACATAAGTTCCAGCCAGTATAGCTTGTTGGATCATTGCGGTGTTTAAGCCCGACCACCACGTCAAGGTAGCAGCTTTCGCACGGGACAGATCCTAGAACATAGACACACTTTTAGGCGTCCAACAATTGCCATATTTCTTGACTTGAAGGCGGCCTTCGACTCCGTGGATCGAGAGGTACTATGGCAATGTTTGACTATGAAGGGAGTGCCAAGAAAGTACATTGCACTAATCAGGGCGCTCTACTCAAACTCACGTAGCTGTGTAAGGGCTTATGGGGAATTGTCATCTGAATTGATAACAACCAGTGGTGTCCGTCAAGGATGTCCACTTTCCCCATTTCTGTTTAACTTCATCATAGATATGCTAATGGAAGTATCCTTAACTGAACTTAACGACTTAGGAATCGACTTGTTACCAGGGAATAGTCTTATAGACTTAGAATACGCAGACCACATAGTCCTGTTAAGGGGAGGACGCTGACAAAATGCAGAGTCTTCTGAACACCTTGAGCAGCAATCTTCGTATGTTTGGCATGCGATTCGCCCCTGTGAAATGTAAGATGCTGCTACAGGACTGGACTACGTCAACTCCAAGCTTAGTGATAGGGAGTGAAGTGATAGAACATGTTGACCACTACACCTATTTGGGAAGTTGTATCAGCACCAACGGATTGATTGGTGACGAAATCTCAGCACGGATCCAAAAAGCTCGGGCTGCTTTCGCCAACTTACACCATCTCTGGCGTAGGCGTGACATCTGACTATCAACCAAGGGACGTGTGTACTGCTCAGCAGTTCGCTCCGTCCTTCTCTATGGTAGTGAGACGTGGCCATTGAGAGCGGAAGACATGAAGAGATTGTCTGTTTTTGACCACAGATGTTTACGATCTCTTTCTCGCGTTAAATGGTATAATAAGGTAAGTAATGTTGACGTTAGGTGTAGAGTGTTGGGCAAAGAGGGAAAATCAATCGACGAGGTTATAAAGTTACATAGATTGAGATGGTTAGGTCACGTGCTGCGCATGCCTAGCCATCGTCTCCTCCGACGGGCATTACTAGCTGATATAGGTGCAGGTTGGTTGGAAAAGAGTAAGTGGTGGCCAAACAAAAACATGGCATCAATCCATGAAATCCCTGACAGTTAAACTGAGTCAGGTAGGGAGATGCAGACTTCCGGGTTGGGGCCCGCCCTCGGGACTCTAAGAATCAATGGCTGGAGACAATAGGTGACATGGCTCAAAATCCTTGTCAATGGCGCAGATGTATTAAGTCTCTTTAACCTTCATACTCCTTTCTACCATTACTCATTCTGTTTCACTCTTATACTTGTCAAAACTCTATTGATTCTCTTCACTCATTTTCTTGTCTACCTTTGTGTGCTATTTGGAACGTGGCAACTCGAACTGCTGCACTTCGGTGTCAAGTTCTATGTTGAATCCAGCAGCAGCAGCAGTATAAGGGATACACCTTCACAAGATCATGGACACATGTGGGTCGTTTGCTGTCACAACACTTGGTATGCAGTTTTCGTTAATGGTAAATTTTTATTCTTATAAACTTTTCTGTCTTCTCACCACTACATTTCTACTCCATACGACATTTGGCCCCCCTCTTCCAGTTTGAGCTGACTTCTACTTATTGTACTATTACTGTTATTCCCCCAGATTCTGAGTTGAACACAGGGTTTCAACAGAACATCTCCATTTCACTCTCTTCTCTGCAGTACTCCTTAGCTAGCGCCACGATTGCCCATAGTCTCTCATCTCCTCCTCACACGATCTCCTCAATTACATCGTAGGATGGAAGGCAAACTCGCTGTTTCCCGTTCACCTTCCTCTCGAGGGTTAGCCTGCTGTGTGATCACACTCATCGAGTGTCCGACTGTCACATATCTGTTGAATGAGGTTGATAAAGATTTGTGGTACTCCGTTGTGTTGAGGCAGTTTCCAATTTATTTCACGCTCAACCCTGCCGAAGGCCTTTACAAAATTGATGAAGTTGAGGTTAGAGACTTGACTGACACCCTGTGCTGTGCTCGATAATGATACGTGGCGTTGTGATTCAATCAACACATGATTTAGTCTCCCTGAATCCAGCCTGTACACTGTTGAGTTTTGCATCCACAGCATCTTACAGTCTCTCCAGAATAACGTGAATCAATACTTTGTATGAAGTGGACAGGAGTATGATACCGCACCAGCTTCTGCAAAGGCTTAAGTCGCCCTTCATTGGCAGTCCAACAAGGTTACCTTCCTTCTGATCACTACTTACGCTACCTTCCTTCCAAACTTTCTGAGTGTTTTGAGTATATTCGCTGAGGTCTGAGTATTCATTTTCTATGCCTCAAGAGGAACTGCGTCACGTTCTGTCATCTTCAAAGATTTCAGTAACTTTATGACATTCACAACTACTGCTTTTTGTCAGGAGATTGCTTCTCACAGGCAATTCTGTGGTGGCTGTTAGTGGTATTTCTGGATGAATTGAAGGTGGTGATCGATTCAAGAATCCTTTCAAGTGATCAGCCAAATGTTTCTTCTGCTTCTCCTCTTTCGTGAAACGATTTCCATCACCATCTTTCATTGGTCTCTTTCCAGATAGCGACCTAGTTATCTCATACAATGTTCTAAGGTCTCTTATACCAGCAGTCTCTTTGGCTTCTGTTTCCAGTGTATCGTAGAATTGTCTTCACTTCTTTATTCAGTGTGTTGTATATTCCACTCTGCTTCTTTTTACGTTATCCATCATTGAAATGGTTCATCTTCTGTTTCACCATCCCTCTCCACTATCAGTTTTCACGTGTTCGTAGAAACCCATTCCCACTGTTGCCTCTTCTTACTCCTAAAAACAGCTGGCGGCACAGGTTCCCTTCAATATCACTTTCAGAGAGTCCCAGTGTTCACCTTTTACCACAGGTTTCCTCAGTCATGCTACGCAGTGTCTCCGACTTTGCTCTGATGGCAGCAGAGAAGGTGTCCTTTGTAGTTTCGTTCTTCACTTTCTGAGTGTTGAACTCCAATTATGGTCTATATACAGCTTCTCTCTAACCTTGAGGTTTTTTCGCACTAAATAGTAGTCTTAGCCCACATTTGCCTCTCTCCTCCATTTTGTGTTCAGCACACTGCATCTCCACTTTTTTGAGCAGCACTGAGATGAAGTCTACCTGGAGAAACCCGAGTCGCTTTGTTTATGTCCATGTGCTGCCTCCAATCGTCAAGTCATTGTAGGCACAGAAATCTCCAAAGTGTTCTCCATTGTCATTTATTTCGTCGAAAGCCTCTTCTTCTATATGACTGAATGGGGGATTTTTAAGCTATCCTCCCAACCACCAAGATCGGCGAGTAGTTGATTACTTTGTATGTCAAAATCACGTCGACACAGTAATTCAAGCAGATTTACACAAGTTTTATACAAATTAGAAGCAGTAAACAGCCGCCACCACCTTCAAGTCACGAGGCCAAGCTTGTTGACCACTCACTCAGTCACTGGGACGGAATCCAATGGCACATAAATTTGTGACAGACAGAGCAACCAACAATGTTGCAACCAGTGTCACAGGTGAGTACTTGTCCTCACACCCGACATGATGGGACCCCACTAGTCACGACTACGCAGTGGAACTCCAAGCAACCTCGTCCTTTACTCAGTCAGTCAGTCAGTTAACTAGTGAGCATCAGACTAATTTTCAAGAGTTAGTTTACACGGATTTGATTTGTTTCAAGTCAGCTCACGGATGAATACCACCCACTAGGATGTGGGCTACTACCGCTTCGGAATAAACACTGAGTAATTTGCCGTTGGAAGACAACAAATAACCAAAGATGCAGAGTCAACAAAAAACATGGCGTGGCAATCCATCAAGTCTGAACCACTCACTCAGGAAGGCGTGAGTTTTTCATTCCAGTCGTGATCTTCACGATGCTGATGGTTATCGCTTTTCACTGGTCTCTTAGGCTTTACTATCACACAAAAACTAAATATAGCCTCTGCTTTTCCGTTAGGGCATCACTTGGATCTCCTTTCTCTCTCTTCGATATCTTGTTCAAGTGTGCTGATTCGAAGAGTGTGATAATAAAGAAGCAATGCACTCAGTGATGCAACAGCCTAAACTCAATGCAACTGTGGATTTACAGTAAAACAGACGAGGAAGAAAAACAAACTAAAGTTATACGCAGTGATACATGGAATTATAACAATAATAAGAATAATAACGTTAAAGATGTACAGAGACGAAGTTAAATTCGTCCCGAAGTGCTTCTCTCTCCTCCTCCTCATCCTCTTTAGTAAGGGAAATAAAAACTTTCAATACTTACTATGTTCGCAATCGGATAATCCTATCGCTATTCTGAAAACGTTTGAGCATTTCAATCTCGTGTAGGTAGGAAGTGACACACTCCTTCGGAGTACTCTCCTTCAATCTGACTACTTTAATCGCCCAAGGATTGAAATTGCCATCCAAAGCTGAATACACCTGAAGAAGGAAAATATTTGTGTAGAAGAAGAAGGTGATTCAATTCAAGTAAGTAAGCAAGCAAGTACTTTTGTACAACGATGAAGACCATCGGAACTTCATCATTTCGCAATGAACAACACAGTTAAACTTAACGAGAAAATCATGACAATAGCAGCTTTAATTCAATGCGATCAGCAGACAAATCTTGATCAAAATTAATACAAGTTAAGAAATCACTTCAAAGGAGACTCTTGAATCAATCATCACCTGCAACTCGTCCAGAAATACCACCAACGGCCACCACCACTAGCACCAACACAGGACTACCTGTGAATACACCAGTGTCTTCCGACAAAAGTAGAAGTCTTGAATGCTATAAAGTTACAGAGAAAAAAACAGAAATTCCCAAGAGGTTTATTCTACCGATGACCTTCATCAACAACCGCTTTCACTTCATACTATAGTTTAGATTGTCAACCGGAAAGGATAAGCAACAAGGAACTTGGACTGTTACAACGAACCAACCAATCAACACAAATATACACAGAAGGAAATGGAGATCAATTCGAAATGCACAGAGGAGATAGATGAAGAACTTGAATGGGAAACGAATAGTTCGACCTAGTTGGTTCAAGGGTGACATCATTGGAGATCTTGTGTGACGAGGAAATGGAAGCCTATATGAGTAATCGTGGAGCCAGATGAAAAGGAAATCGCAGTGAATCGAGTGAAACACAGATGTGCTTCTAAAACCCTACTTCCCATACGGAACTCAAGGCAACAACAATAATAGTAATCAGTATAAGATAGGCATTTGTTAGGCTAGATGATTCAGGCGATTGGCAAGAAGCCCTGTCTAGGCCTAGGCGACGTGCTTGTTGGCAGGCACTCACTCACCAGTCAGTAAGGCGTATCTTCAATCCTGAAGGAACTCATCGCCAACCTTTCTGAGATACCATCATCGTTATCATTATTGACATGTATATGAAACGCAAGCACCTAAAACAAAGTCATTCAGTACAAGCTCGCTACCAAATCAGAAGAAATTATTATCACGGAGAATGATGTCTAGGGGAGGAAACAAACAACACTAAGTCACGATGATACCTATAGCTCATTGAATCACATACATGTTAGACAACCAGAGTGAGATGAACACAACACACAAAAAGGCGAAATATTCAAAGTGATATGCACAAGTAGAAAACTACTTACCACAGATGAACCGCCCTCACCTAATCTACCAATTATTCGATAGAATTCACCTCCAACTATGACTTCATTCTTCTCTGCATCTTCTAAATCGGTTTGTACACCTACAGAATGGTAGTGTTCCCCAGTTCCAAATCCATCCTAAACGGCAGAATGAAATGATGAATACATATTGTCACTGATGACAAAGTCAGCACGCGTGCTATTCTCTTCAGAAAAGATAACATGGAAGTCACTGATAATAACCAATAGGGAATCAATCAATCAATTAATGCTAAATGGTATTTTCGTCAATTTACAATTAGGATTGCATAGCACAGCATAGCAACCACTTTACATACCTTAGAGGATGCGCAGAAATTGGATAAATAATACTCATACCTGACTCGAAATTAGTAATACTGTGAATAACTCTTAAATCTCCTGATCAGTAGTATCTAGGCAGAGGGGAGATACGCCTAACAAGAATTCGATCGCTTCCCTTATCCCTTACACATTCTCTTGTTTACTAGGATGATGAAAATTCACAGACTTATTTGTACCAGTAATAACTGAAACAATCTCTCAGAAAAATGGCACCAGAATTAGCTCCCAGGATGGACAACTGGAACGTTGGAAAGAACACTTTGAGGAGCAATTTAATCGACCTACATCCACACTCAACGTACCCAGCATCCAACACCTCCCTGAATGTAATATAAACACACAGGTCCTCCGTCCCTAACTGAGGTTACAAGAGCTTTCACTAGTCTGAAAGGAGGCAAAGCAGAGGGACCTGATGGAATGACTCCAGAAGTGTTCAAGGACGGTGGAGAGAGTTTACTGTCTGCGTTAACTGAGGTATTAGGCAGCGTCTGGGAATCAGAGATAGTCCCGTCGGGTTGGTGTAAATCATTGATTATCCCGATATACAAGAAGGAAGACAAATTTTCCTGTGATAATCACAGGGAGATTAGCTGGACTAATATCGTATCTAAACTTCTAGGCTCAATAATCATGCGCAGACTAAGATGTATTCGGGAGGGAAAAGCACGAAAGCAACCAGGCAGGCTTTAGACCAGGAAGAGGGGTGTATCCATCATATCTTCACCCTTCGACAGATTCTAGAACATACACATACTTATCGGTGTACAACAGCCGTTATATTTCTTCTTGACCTAAAGGCGGTATTCGATTTTGTCGACGAGAGGTACTCTGGAGATTCTTGACCGAGGAAACATATCGCACTGATCAAGGCACTCTACTCGTACTCATGCAGTCAGCTAAGTGAGAGTCTAGGGAGAGTTATGATCTGAGGTGGTGACAAACACTAGCAAATACTAGAACAACTAGGTACCGCCAAGTATTACGAAGATTTTATATATATATATATATATATATATATATATATATATATATGTGTATATATATCCGATATGTAGAACAACCACCGGCCAATATCAGAAGGGATTATTTGACCTCACATTCGAATTGGTGGACTCCGCTGGTTACTCCCTCCCACTATTGTCCTAATGATTAACGAATTCACATGTTAACCTGAAGGTTCATAGTTCGTCCCTCAGTGGGGCCATGAGTGCGTACTCTATTCGTGAGTTCATGAAACACCTGTACAGTAATCTCTACCGGTTTTCATTGGTTATCTTTTACCAACATCACCGTGAATTTTTATTTCATTTATTTATATAATAAAAATTCTACGAAAAACTGTTTAACAGGCTTTCAATTTGGTCAGTTTATGTGGTTATAACTGTCAAAAACAGGTGAGAAAATATTAGCAGTGTAAGAAATTATATTATTATTATTCTTATCATACATTTTTCACTATACTCGTTTGTATATGTAACCGTAGCCCACCGGTTTAAGTGCTCAACTTCCAATCACAGTTGGTCGAAGGGCTCGAACACCGTTGCACCCACCTACCACGGTTTATGACTCATAGCCCACTGCATCGAAGTGCAAGTGGATGTTGAGTAGCATTTTATTTCATCATTTTGAGTATTTCCATCCATCAACTCAAGGTTCAAGTTCTTACTCATTGGATTTCATCATGATCTGATGATATCGATTAGAGGACCATTGGAGAACCACCTGAGAGTACAGGACAGCTGTTCCTGTCGTCCTACTTCGGGACCATCGCCAGGGTTCGAACCCAGCAACTTCCGGTTATACAACGTGAGCAAGCTCATAGACCATGAAGAACCAGTGGGACACAATTCAAGCGCCACCACATGAATTCCAACTTCTTATTCATTGTCCTACGTTTTAACAGTCAGTTAAGTAAAAAATTATACGCATGAAGTTATCTCATTATTCATTGGTATTCTCAAAATACAAGTTCTTTCTTCATTATTCACACACGCCTAGAGGCTCATTCATCATTATTCACAAACAATGGTGAATTACATTAGCTTAACTCCATTATGGATACGATTTTATTTTGATAAATCACACAGTGTTGTACAGTTATATTAACTGATGACGTTTCGAGCACAAACTATTGCTCATAATCATATCAATATAACTGTACAACACTGTGTGATTTATCAAAATAAAATCTTATCCATAATGGAGTTATATTCTACCACAGTGCACAAGTTTTATACTTATATCAATATTACATTAGCTTAGTTTTAACTAGATTGAAAAAACTGTGCAATACGGTGGCTGATCACAAAAAGGTGGAGTTCACCAAAATCATGTTCTATTGGGAATCTAATCAACAAGAATATTATATTATCAGAACAAAACAAAAATCAATTCAAGACAACTCAACTCAACTTACGCAACCATGGAGAGGTGAAAGTTCCTCAAGTCCCACAGACATTGAAATAGTGGACGAAGAACACGGTTCTAAGGACGAATTTCGTCCTGGATTTTCGGCTATGGTATCAACAAATATTATATACATGTATATAGTACATTAAAAATGTGCTTATTATTTATTTTATTGCTTTACATTCCTAATGGAACATAGGGCTTCAAGCTAGAACTTTGAAGATTCGGTATCAGTGGCTTTTATTTTATTTTGACGGGGTGGGGTTGCCAGCCTCATACCCAACATTCCCTCTTCACCGGCCTTACTACCTAACTAATAAGGTTTGTTAGTTCATCAGCCGGGGATCGATCCTCGGACCACGTGAGTGGTTGGTGAGCGTTCTACCACTGAACCATCGACGCACTGAAAATGTGCTATATATCTAGAAGTACATAAGCATATATATATATATATATATAAACCTATGAAACCAAAGTATCATTCACAAGATTGAAGAAATGTGGCAGGTGACTTAAACAACTTGATTTTCTCTCCTCGGGTACATAAAGGTGTAGTAAAAGCCATCAACAGTTCAACCCAAACATGCCACAAGGCTAGTTAGTACTGGAAAATCTTTCCTGTCATCTATCCAGGACCGAATAAATTACTGACGGCCTCTGAATATCAAATACTCGAAACAACAAAAGCTTATGGCTATTCGCTTAAACTAATCGGAGCTCTATGTGGAAAACAAACGTGAATGACAAAGAATTCACGACTTTGATGTTAGATGTTTGATGGTAATTGGCAGGAAACCGTCTACATAGGCTTCGTGCTTACTGGCACTCATCAGCAAGCACCAAACAGGGCCTCCCACCGATCACCTATCATCTAACGTGATCTTAGAGTGCATAACAATGGTGAGCCGCCTACCTTGGTGACCACATTGCAAACTACACTAACAGAATTCAGTCACTAAGCACCAAACCAAAGACGAGATTCAGTAGCTCGAGACTCCATCAAATATAACTTGAAATCGATGGTGAATACTGTGCTGAAATCTCCGGTTTTTCATCAAACTCTGAACGTGATATAAAGTGAAAAACACTCGTTTCCATGTCCTTTAAATAACTGAGCTTACGTGTTTTCATAGTCAATAATCTGATTTTTTGGTTCCAAATTATTCTGTGGGCTGCGTCTCGTGGAGTTCTCCCACAAGCACTGAAAATGAGCCAAGGAACCTCAGAGGACACCACCGACACCACTACTGCAGAAGGCTTCGAAGGAAGGAAAGGCGTCTACTGACTACAAGTTATTCTACCTTCTTAGACTTTCAAATGAGGGAGACTTGAGGCTTTGAAAGAACTGGCTCGGAATCACGCTCCTATCTAATCCACACAAAGTATCAAATTATGCCATCCTGAGGAGATTTTACAGGATGTCATGAATATAAAACTCCATCCGGAACAAGCGGGATGCAGGAAGATCCAATCATGTGCGCATCAAATCGCACCGCCATGCATCATCATCACCACCGTCATCACCACTATCAATGAATATGCCATATGATGGCAGTCAAATCTCTACATCAACTTCATCGACTTTGATGAGGCCTTCAACAGCGTTGATCCGAAGTGATTCGGAATCTCCTTCAACACTACGGAGTGCAGTGCTGTAAACATCTTTTAACCTCATTGGATGCATAGACGTATGAAGATGACACATGTCAAGTGATTCACAACAGAAAGCTCAGCGAAACCTTCAAAGTGAACACTGGAGTAAGACAAGACCAATGAGAAAACTTCGGAAGATATGGACATCACGTATGTCTAATGTCACTAATAACTAGATGATCTACAGGTGAAAACCAACAACTTGGCAGAAAAGGCAGGATTTTATGTCTACATTAGGGGAACAGAGGTGGTGAAGGAGTCGAACAAACAACAAACTCTAAACACCATCAACGGGAGGAATTTAAAGAAAAGTCACCTCTTCTACTCACTTCCCCAGCATAAATGACACAGATGAGAATGTGAAAAGCGGGATCGGAAAAGCAAGAGAAACCGCTCATTACACTGAAATCTGTGTGGAAACCTACAACATTCAGCATAACCAACAAGATCCGAATTTTCAACACTAATGTCAAGTCAGTCAACACTTCTATATAATTTGGAGACAAGACACAGCTCAAGAAGCATTTCCCAACAGAATTTCATCAACAGCTGTATTCGCTACCTCCCTAGTGAAGATAAAGTGGGCAGAAAGTATGAGGAACTGTAGCAAACAACCAGCCAACAACTCCCTTGCCCTACCCACAAATATGCAGAAGGGAAATGAGATGGATTGGACCTGCACTGCACCAGTATGACCATCTGATGGAACCCAAGTGGACAAAGACAAGTTTGGTGTCTAAAAGTGGCATGTGGGAGATCTTGTGTCAGAAGGAAATGAAAGTTTGGGGGAAATCGTACAGCCAGCCGGTAAGGACTTCAGAGAGCCCTGGGTGGAATCAAAATGTCCATTTGAGGCCCTGTGTTCCACATGCAACCAAGGGGAACAATAATAATATAATATGAAAAATAATAAATCTCTTCGTGTCAGGTCACCTTTTATATATGTATGATTGTGGTGAGATTCTACAGAAAAATAAAAGACAATCGCAAATATTCCTGAGTGAATCTTCTAGTGGAAAATACTCTACACATACTGAAAAGACAATCTCACCTGAGCCTTGCATATCGATTTGAATAAGCTCTGGTGGAGTGTAAAGTGATGTACAGTTCGTTGAATCCTATACAAAAGTGAAAGAAAAAGAAACAACTAACGTAGTGCCATGTACGGAAGTGTTTTGTCAACTATTATACCACATTACCAGTACGAGTTGTCAGCGATTTCATTCACAAGACATCCGAAAACGCAAACACACACATACAGTACATTCTCATTGCGATAAAATGAATGTTTCTAAAGATGTGTCAATAAAATTTTAAGTTTTTAGATAGCAAGTACGTGCATAAAATAGTGCTTCACATCTCTCCTTATTTACTACAGAAATGTCCAGCTCTTACTGTCATTTGTTGACAAGTGTATGATGACTAGTAGAGATAGGGGGTGTTGTGTCGACACGATGGCTAGGCTTGCTTATGTCAATGCTGGTTAAGAGGACGGTTCTTCCTTGATGACCACCTACCTACCTACCTACCATACGGGTAGGTAATGGTAAGGCTGACAGCAACTATCCGATCAATGTAACAGTGTTATAGAGTTCTGAAACTGTACTGTTGTTCGGATAGGGTAGATAGCGGTCAACGGTTATCTAGCACGAGTAGTCCACTCATGTTTTCTTCCAACGAACAATTTCACAACTCCTCTTTTCTTCGCTAACACCTATCAGTAATCAGCAGTAAAGTTAAAGTCAGCTCAACAAGACTTTCAGTCCCTTAAGATAACACTGCCAACTTTAAAGTCCCAGCTTTACAACAAATCAGAAACCATGAGTTAAGCCGAAACTTCGACACCTAGGACTACGGATTCCATGTTGTGTGTAGTCATTCACTTTCCGTCATCTAATCAATGTAGAAAATGCGTCAGATACACGATGCAGCCAGACAGTCAGTTTCTGTAGTCTTGGGGCAGACACAGTGTTAAGCTCTACAAAATGAAGTCCACTGCTTCACTGAATTCCAGTTGGCCAGAATAAATCATACTCATCGTACATTCTGCATCTGTAATCTCCCGGTGAAATTTAGAAGGAGTGAAAATCAAACTCCAAGACAATCGATCGATGGATGATGGCCGTTAGTTTTAGCCTACTCACATCTTTACAATTGAACATCTGCACTTAAGTGTGATGATTGGACGCACACAACAATCAACTAGACAATCCTTTACATCATCAGTCCACGCATGTTAGTCCACATTGTATTTTGGAAACACTTGGTGCCATTGTCACTTAGCACAGAGATAATTTCCCTTGTGATAACAACAACAGAATTCATTTGACCAATACGGTGCCAAAGATACTAGTGTCCCCGGGTCGTCTGCCTGCTTGACAAATTAGTGTGGGACAGATGTGCATCAATGGAATGTGACTGCATACCTCGAAATGAGGTAGTTGCTTCACAGCATAACAAGTATATAATTCTGTTAGACAGACGGATAAAACACAATGTCCACTGAAACCTGTAAGTGATTCGCCACTGATAATCATCTGGCTTTTCTGCAGGACAACACTTAGATTATCAGTCTATATCTTGACTTCATTGAAAAGAAAAACAACAAAATCACCAGTTTGAGTTTATTCAGTGTCGATGTAAAAATCTTATTTGACTATTACAGTGTTATTGATCGAGTGAGTGGCTCATCGGTTTAAGCTTTCGACTTCCAGCCAATAGGTCTAGAGTTCGAATCCCACTCCAACTAATTCGCATCACAGCTTGGGAAACTGGCTAGGTAGTACTACCATCAGCTCATACGCAATAAGTGTGACTCATAGCTCGCAACCGGCCAACTGAATTCCAACTGATTATTCTATATCTATTAAGCATCGTCATCCATCATCATCCTCAGCACAATTATACTTCTAGGAAAATTGAATATACACACGGCGAAAGATACGGTGGGTTCCTCCTCCAAAAATGCGACGACTAGTACACATTTGTCTTCCTTCAACAAAAACAAAACCAGCAAATTGGTCAAGTAAATTCTTCACTGCTTACTTACCTTGAATTCGCTGATTAGCATTTTTCGATCCGTTTCCGCAGTCAGACGAACAATTGATGCATTTTCACTGTTTCGAGAATAGAGGGAAAATAAAACATTTAGTACAACGACCACTTTCCTTGACGTCTCCATCGCAGAACACACTGGCCCATCCAATCAAGTAAGACACATCACACACACACATACATACCTCACCTCAGTCTACTGCAAATTCAGTAGAACAGTCACTTCTCCATTACTACTCACTCATCATCTACACATAGGTTGGAGTAGGCCACAGACAAAGGAGAACTAAAATGGACAATAATGCAAATCAGAATGAGGACAGGTGGGTGAACACAACAGAAAATTTCGAGAATCCCACAGATCGACAGTCTTTTCAGATCACTGAACAAACTCTATATATAAATATCTTCCATATTAAGTGCAATGTTTAACCTGACGGATATGAAGAATGATTCCGCTCGCATTACCCACTCACACCACCTAACCTATCAGCTGACTTCATGGACCGCCGCTGCTATGCATTCACCTAGACATTCTTTGACTTTTTCAAAGCCTACTCCTACTTCACATATCCCAGTGTGATGACTCATAGTGTCGATAGGCACATGCAATAGTGGATTATTCGTCAAAGGAGGAAAAGGTTTGGAAATATACATCAACCAACATACTTTGTTGATATTATACTCTACAGTTAGCCTCTGAATAGATTAGTATTGTCAGGTGGTCCTACAAAGATAGTAATAGTTTCGGACTTATAGCCTTCTCAAATCCTTTATTCCTCATATCAATGTCCCACCATTGTACATCACATTTGACTGATATAAACAGTCCGCTCCGTCCTCCTTTATGGCTGTGAGACCTGGCCATTGACAGCGGAAGACATGAAAAGATTAGCTGTCTTTGATCATAGGTGCCTGCGTCCTATCTCCCGTGTGAAGTGGTATGATAAGGTGAGCCATATTGAGGTTAGGCGTCGAGTGCTAGGTAAGGCGGGGAAATCATTCGACGAGACTGTGAAATTACATCGACTGAGATGGTTAGGACATGTGTTACGTATGCCTAGTCATCGCCTTCCTCGACGGGCAATGTTAGCTGATATAGGGTCAGGCTGGAAAAGAGCTAGTGGCGGTCAAACCAAAACATGGCACCAGTCAATGAAATCCACAACAGTTCGTCTAAGCCACGTAGGAAGGTGTACACTCCCTGACTGGTTGGGGTCCTCGGGACGGTAAAAACCAATGGTTGGAAACAATTGGTGACATGGCTCAAAATCGTTCTCAGTGGCGCAGATGCATCCACTCCTTGTGACTTATGATTTCCGTTATTACTATTCCTTTGTCTCACACCTCTGTTTACTGTCTCTAATATGCATTTCTCCTACTTTCTTCTCTTGCTTTCTGTGCTACAAAGAGGGAGTGTGGCGACTTGAACTGTCGGACATATGTGTAAAGTTCTATGTCGAAAACCAACCGGCCAATATAAACAATTACCCATCTCACCACGATGCAATTGACTTAAATTAATGACGCAGACTAATGTGTAGCAGTGAAGTAGGACGAACACACCAGTCGTAGGGTAGCTAATATGTGAATATTAATTAATTAATTAATTAAGGGATAACAGCATAGAAGACTGTGTGCAATTAATTGCACAATTGAAAGTTCTACACAAGAAAAGCACTCCTACTGACTGACTGACTGGTGAATAGGCACGTAACAGCAGTAATTTATTTCCCTCAGATGACCAGTAGTTGAGGTATGATGTTTCTCTGCTCTGGAAAGGGGGCTTAGGAAATTATACATCCTAACTGGCCTTTCAGCGGTGGTCCATAGACGGCAGTAAGATACTCATGCGGACACAACTCTAAGAACCAACTTGAACAATACATAAATGACTCACATCAACCAGTTGCCCCCTGGACTCTGAGGTCACACAACACTAATGCTGCTTCTGTGTCGTATACACCAAGAAAAAATCAACTTCAGTCATGTCAGCAACCAGGAACTAACATACGCCCACACACTTCCATGAGGACATAAAACTTTCTTCTCTCCTACTGTTATCACCATCCTGCGACTGGACGGACTGCGATGAAGCGGCTGCAACACCAACTTGATGAGAACACTACATCCCTGTTTAAAGGAGATATAACTAAACATGTATCCGAGATTAACAGTAACACTCGCACTGAGGAAACCTAGTGTAATATCCAATCAGCTGTAGAAACAGCAGTAAGACCAAAGGGGTTCGTATATCCCAGAGGCTTTCTCCTGCTTCAGCCAAATTGACCCACGCAAAAATACTGGTTCTATGGAGGATTCGAACATGATGAGAAGTGAAAGCTGCTCAAAACGCAAATTGACCAAGTCTTCACAACGACAGTGAGAACAGTGGTAGGCGACAAAAGTGAAAGAGATGGCAAATGCACCGGCGACAGACAACTATTTTAAATTATCAGAGAAACAAGTTACAAAAGGACAGGTGGTAAGTGAGACAAACTCCGGGAAAAGAGGTGTCTTAATTAGCACCAAAGACACACAACCGAAACGTTGGAGGCTACACTTCGAGGAGCAATTCAACTGACCTACAACCACACTTATCTTGCCTGTCATCAGAGAGGTGTATCTCGCTTTGTCACCTTCAAATTTCGACAACTGGATGTATCATCAGCCTACAGACAGTGAGTGTGACTGTTAGCCTGGAACATGAAACATGTGTTGCGAGAACTCAGTTCAGACAATAATATTTGACAGTGAGTTGCACCTATTGTGTTATAAATGACAATGGTATCCAGATGCTTAACAGTTGAACTCGTAATTCAGTAGTCAAAACCCTAGCACTTGGCACAAAAAGTAACAACCTCAGTGAATGGATGGACTTTGTTGACTTGGACTATTTTTAGTACTTCGATAGTCATCAATGATATTGATCAAAATTCTGTCTTACCTTCAAAGCACTTAATTCAATAAAATTAACATAAACAAACACTACAGGCAAGAATACTAAGTCAATTACCGTAAGTATGAAAGTCGATTTACTCGCATAATATACAATATCACCTGAGAATATGCAAACGTCACAAAAACGCTCAAAATATGCTACACTCTGCATTACCAGTCAAAATAAATCAATGAATCATTATCATTATACTACTGTTATTATTCCCTTGGGTTCTCTGAGTGCGACATACGACTTCAGCAGCACATCTACCATTTTACCCTGCTTTCTGACGTTTTCATTAGCTGGCTCCATGATTGCCGACACATTTTCATTCCTTCCTCAAACCACCGCCTGCATGTTACCCTCGGAACCACGTCCAACGCATTCTTTATCATAAGGATTCCACTCGAGGGCCAACATGGCGTATAATATCACTCAATGTTCTCTTCCGTGCAGGTCCAATCTATCTCCACTTCATTCTGCATACTCGTTGGTTAGGAAATAAGCCCTTGACTGTTTCGTTACCAGAGTTCCTTGATGTCTCTCCTTTCTGGATGACTATGTGGTCTTCACCATGGAGCAGGAGAAGCCAGATGTTGATGAAAGTCTGCAGCATCCTATTGGAAATACTTTTGGTGACGGAACATGTCCCAGAGCCATATAGTGGCAGTGACCTCACAATAGTGATGAAAATCCCTATCTTCTTCCTTGTATTGAATGCAGTAGATTTACACACTGATTTCAGATCAATCAAAGTCCCCCTTGCTTTTCCGACCTTGGCTGTATTTCGTATTCTCACTCGTGTCACCTGTAGTTAAAAAGATGCTGCTTCCTTCAAACTTTCCTCACTGACATTTCATGATCCTTGTTGTTATTCGTTAGGTGTCTTCACCACCTCTGTTTTCTCTTTTTTCGCTTGAAGTCCTGTTTTCTCTGCCTGTTGGTTTTCACCTGCAGATCTCCGAGTTTACGTGATATTACACATAAATCATCCATCAAGTCTATATCTTCAAGTGTATTCCTGCCTTTAAGCTCCCAAACGCCTGAAGCATAATCTAGTCCACCATAATCAGGTATATCATCGCTGACAGCAGACAACCTCGTCTCACTCCTCTATTCACTCTAAAGGACCTTCGCTGGGCTTTCCCTTGTAGACTATCACATGGAGTATGCCATCGTCAAATAGCTATCGTTAATATCATAAACTCTAAATGTTACAAAAAGTTGATCATAAACCTTGACAAATAATCTCTACTGTACTGAGTGCTGTAATTAAAAGGTATGGGACAGTAATACATGTGCTTACAATCATAAGGATAGTTACCACACAACAATGAATCCATCTACCAGAATATATTATCAGCAAATAACTTTATGCACATAGACAATAATTGAAAAACACCTACCCATTGGAACTAATCACTTCCGATGTCGTAGAAGGTTTAACTGGACTCAATTCAGCATTTATATCTATTAAGGTGAATCGATTAGTGGCTTATACAAAAATGTCTACCCCGAGGTTTAGAATATGGTAAGTAGTAGAATGGACCCACTAATGGCTTGAAGTCGCCATCGTTGTCCACTAAATTCTCTGCTTTTCGTAGTAATTCTACTCCACTGCTATCATAACGCTTTTTCGAAGCATTTAATACCCATTTTGCTTTGGCTTTATCACCTGAAAAAGACTTAATTACTGAAGTAGTTTGGGACATACCATTCATGCAATACTGATGAGCTAGGCCTACAATTAAGTGAACATTTTTCCATCCATAAAGAGCACATGCATCAAGATATGGGAAACTATCTTCACCATTTCTAGGAAAAATTTCAACTGAAATAGAACAGCTTACTGGAACACATCCAGAACCACTCTTCGGAAAAAAATTATAAGGTACCTCTCATCAGTCCAATCGATATCTAAATTCTAGGAAAGAAACAAAATATTAATGACTAATACCAACTTACATTCACAGCATCCTCATATACTTCTAAAAGGACTTTAGGAATATCTTCATCTATTCCCACTGTCCTAACTTTCTCTTCCATTTTGTTGATGTAAGTTACCCATTGTTCGTAAGAATGAGGATCATTAGGGTCTCAAATAATACAAAAATGAAAAATCTTGAGTTTATAACTTACAATAAGCATTGGACACACTTGACAAAAGTTCTTCTGGATTCGTTGCCATAGTCATAAGCAACTGGAGTATTCCAACTGTATGAAAAGTAAGAAGGTGAGATCATGCCAAATAATATCAAAGTCAAGAAGTGACGCGATAAAATTTACGGAATACAGAATCTACGCTTCATTCTATTAGACAACCGTAAAACATACAAGGCGTAGTATCTCATGCAAGGATACATGTATTTATTTTGCAACACATCAGGATTTCAGAGAGAGAAATGATATGCGGACAAGACAGTGCCGAAGCGGCAAGGAGGAAAAACAAGGATATCAAGACCAGTCAAATATTGAAGACTTTGAAAGTGATACATACTGCTAAAGCCATACTCCCACCCGTCACATTTTGTACTAGTATGACATATGATAACCAGAAAGCTACAATACGATAGTTTTGATTTCGATTTAATTTATATTTGAAAATACCTTGACCCACAGAATTGTTTGCTCTCTTAGATCTCACTCGAGAGGCCATCATACAACAACCGATACTAATCATCCATGGTCGACTAGCTCCAGAATTCTTTAGTAGACATCAGGAATGACTCTCAAATAACCACTAGTGTAATATCCAAACTACAGAAACAACCACAATCATATGAGAGCCCAAGGCAAGTCTTCGTTTGATGTCTTTGAATATCCATCTGAGGTACTAATTTTAGCCCGAATCCATTGCTGACGAAATAATGAACACTTCTTCGCCTTATTCGAATTCAGGTGGACTGGTCCTGGCAACATTAAAGAACAGATGCATCGGTGCCCACAAAACGACCAATTGCGTTAAAAAGACATTTTAGATAGCGAAAGAAAAGAACCTTGTTTAAATAAATATAATAATCACCAATTTTTCACGATCGAGAGAGAATTTCTCATTTGGAAAGTGCCTTAAAATAAACCCCAACAAATTACTTGCAACACAGAAACCAGAGTATTCCTATAGGAGTAAAACAACACCATAATCGGTAGTAATAAGAGTCAGATAGGATTAAGGTTCAATCGAAACACTTCATCATAACGGGAACAGTGGTATAACACTAGCGATTACAGAGTCGATGTGATGTTATACCCTAGGCACGCTTCGTAAAGTGCTCAGTGCACAGATGATGCTGAAGAGTATTCGAAGGCTCAGACAATGGAGGAAAATTCCAATGGATGAGGAATATGCTTTAAAAGACATTTTCAGCAAAACCTCCACCGCATCCACACCAAAAATACATCCAAGTTTAGGTCTGAGACTCACAAAGTCCCATAACTTCATTTAGTCAGTTCATCCTTCATGCAAAAAATGTCTCGTGTTATTTTATTCACAGTAATCATTAAACATGACGTAAGATAATGAAGTCTTACTAATATTTATGTAAAAAAACTGTATAAGGAGTTGATCACACTCCGCAATGACTCTTGTACACCCGTTAAAATTGTGACGAGCTCGTGCAAACTATACCATTCACTTCCACTCGCTTCGTGAATACACGGTTTACGGCACTGGAGGACATCACAAGTAGAGTGACTCTATACTATTGCAGCCCGAAACGAAACTACATAATGGACGGATTGGTGGTTTTGACGAATTTATGCGCGGAAATTTTAACCTATTTATAAAGAATCCTGTGCGAAATTGAGCGATGTTCTTGGAGCATACACCAGAATATTATCCTGTGTTACATTTTTAACATTACAATAGTTGTATATAGACGTTAATTTCAAATTACGCATTTCTAATTCTGACGCGTCCGATTAGTCGCTAGTGGTAGTTTCGTTTTGGGTTGCTATGGTTTAGAGTCACCAGAATAACAAAATTACGCACAGCTTAATAAATAAACGTTAATTCCTTGACGACAAGAACGCAGACATACCAATCACAAGACTGTCTAGCCAATAGGACTCCAATGAGAAACTTGGCGCACCGCTTAAGGTCATCGTGTGCGTGATGAAGAAAAACAAGCATTTCCAACATCCAGCATCTTTTTTGCAGCTGCGTGTACACTCAGTTGGTTTCGTTGTACTAACTTATTGGTTTTGAGGTGAATGCTCCCAATATTCGTTAAACTTGTGAGCAGTGCGTCGCTCAAGAAAGTGAGTCGTGCGAACTTCTACGCTGCAGACTTAAATTCATAGGCCAAGACATTGACCTCATTAATCCAGATTCAGATTCGGTTGATAAGGATAGAAGGCTCTTGTGGCCTGTGTTAATCCTTGCAAAATATATCTCTGCAGAGATCTAACTTCTCTTTGAAAGCATTCACCGATGGAGCTGTTACTACTGAATCAGGTAAGGAGTTCCAGTCGTTGACCACTCTGTGAGAGAATCTAAATTCTGCACGTATTTTAATCGTCCTCGGTTTGAGCACCTTTTTGCGGTGACCCCGTAAATGTATCCTAGAAGGAGAGAAAAGCTCAGAAAGGTCAGTTCCTAAATCACCCTTAAGTATACAGTATGCTAAAGTTAAGTCGCCTCTCTTCCTTCGGTATGATAACGGAAAGAGATTTAAATGCTCCATCCTCTTATCATAAGGAAGGTGTGAGATACCACTAACTAGTTTCGTTCCTACTCTCTGTACTCTTTCCAGGATATATGCCTCCTTTTTGAAGCATGGACCCGCCGCTTGTACGCAGTATTCTAGATGAGGCCTGACATAGGTTGCGTAGAGTATTTGGAACATGCCCTCATCTAGTCGTTTGAAAGCCCTACGGAGTGCCCATAGCATTCGGAAAGCCTTAGCTGCGGCTGCATTGCAGTTTGCAGTTGTTTTCAAATCATTGCTGACAACGATTCCTAGGTCCTTCTGTTCGTTAACATCAGGTAGTTCTGTGTCCCCTAGGGAGTACGACGTATAAGACTTCTGACCTAAGTGCATTACTGCGCTTTTCCTAGAATTCATTTCCAAACTCCACTGGTTCGACCACTCAGCTAATTTATCTAGATCAGTTTGTAGGGCCGACCTATCCTCGCTATTGTTTACAGTTTTCCATATCTTAATGTCGTCTGCAAATAACAATGAAGATGAAGTAAGAATCCCTGGTAGCTCATTAACGTATAATAGGAATAGCAAGGGGCCTAATACAGTTCCCTGGGGCACTCCACTGGATACTGCTTTCCACCCTGATAGTACACCGTTAACTCTAACCTTCTGCCTTCTATCCATTAGGTAATCCCTAAACCACTCACATAGGCATTGGTCTAGTCCGAAACCTTTAAGTTTACTAAGGAGACCTAAGTGGGATACTTTGTCGAATGCCTTGCTAAGATCAATAAAAACCACGTCCAACAGAAGGTTTTTATCTCTGGCCTCGACCCAATCTTCCCTAGCTAACAGTAAGTTTGTCAAGCAGGATCGTCCTGGTCGGAATCCATGCTGTTCAACTGCCAGTAAGCCATGTGTTTCAACATAAGCTAATAGCTGATCCCTTATAATAGTTTCCATTACCTTTGCTATAATGCATGTCAGACTTACCGACCTGTAGTTAGATACCAATTGCCTGTCCCCCTCTTTGAATATAGGGCTTATAATGGCATCCTTCCAGTCCCTGGGTAGCTTAGCCTGGGTCAGTGACATTTGGAAAATCTCCGCAAGCGGAATATATATCATATCCGCCAAGGAAATTAATAATTTAGGGTGAAGTCCATCAGGCCCAGGTGATTTACCTGGTTTCAGTTTAGACAGTAGTTTGGGGACTTTTGTGTGATCTACCACAATTCAGGGCATCTGAGTGGCGATGGCAGTGACCTCGCCATATCCCTGGGTGGTACTAACAGACGAGAAGACGTCACAGAAGTATTCAGAGAGGTTTTCAGCCTTTCCTTCGTGTGCGTGATGAAGAAAAACAAGCATTTCCAACATCCAGCATCTTTTTTGCAACTGTGTGTATATCAAGTTGATTTCTTTGTATTTACTTATCGGTTTTGACACGAGTGTTTCTGATGTTTTGTTAACTTCAGCGTTGTATGTCCCACCACTCTAAGACCGTAATTTTGGTTGCTCACGAGACGAGTGTGGATGAGATTGGTTATATGTGGTTTGTAGTACACGGTATGTTGAGCTTGTATGAATGGGGCTTGTCCATTCACCTTTCGATCATCCAGCGTAGTTGAGTGGAGAGGTAGTAATAAAAGTAATAACATACTTAGTGGAGACTATATCGCCTTTAAGAGAAAAACGTACAAACAATAGTTGAAAAGTAGACGAATTAATAGATACAGTAGTCAGAAGAGTGAGATAAGGAAGAATGAGCAGTGTTGAAGGACGAAATCAGGTGATACACGGTAACAGAATACAGTATATGAGTTTCAAGGGGACAGACCATTTGGAGACAGTCCTCGGGTTGCTACATGATTACCCAGCATCCTATTGAAGTAACCCAAGCTACTGGCAAAGATTTCCAGTGACGGACGACTCGATGTAGCAGGATATGGGATCTCACTGCAGCCTGGAGTGTTAGGCACAATAAAGCTCGTAATGACTTAATGACACAATACCTTTGTTTGGGTGATTCCGGTCACTTGTAATCATGCAGGTGGTAATTAAGCCACTACTAAGCGACAGTAGCTAGGTGCAAAATAACGTGATTCCCTCAACCCTGCCTCATTCCGAAACCACCCACCACTCCTTTTATGACTGCCTTTGGACCTTTTCTGAAAGATTGGCATCCTTTTTATATCATGAAGAATAGTGATATTGTGAACTTCAAGGAAGTAGACCTAAATCGCGCTCTGACGTTAAACAGGACAAGTTTTTGAACGCAGAGGCGGGGCCTAAGTTCATGAATATCGATAGCCTCGGTGTATTTCATTACGAGTGGTGTCTTTCGGCATGTTTTGTTGTCGAATTCCATTGTCGACTTACGAGATGCATCGGCTTCTGTCTTGGGGTGATCCTGAGACATATCTTGATCCACTGTGGAGGGTAGAGGGGTTAATTTAGGAGAAGGATCATAATTTAGTAGCCTTTCGGTTGGTGTCATGTTCTGTGGAGCTATTTTTGTGAGATTTGAGAGGGGGAGGCTGTGAGTTCTACCGTGTTGACCGAGGGTTTACCTCTTTTAGTGACTTGCGGTCTCTTGCCCTTCTTACCATTTGGCTTATTGGGGTGAATGTAAGCACGCCTTTCAATCACTGTCTTATCTGCTACAACTGTTATTTGTTTGTAGCTCATACCCTGTAATAGGATACGTTGTGTATTGGTGAATTTCTTAGCCTCTGTCTGTGTTTCAAACTGAAGGCGTTTAGGGCAGCAGTTGTCGAGCTGACTCTTTTTTAGTCTGTGTCACTTTGTTTGGGAGTTGGGCATTTTCGCCGCCCTAAGTAAGATACTTCGAACCTTTCCAACCCCTCGTTATCCGGTGTTTTGTAGGCAATCACAATTAGTTTAGTTTCTAATCTTTTGATGACCTCTATTGTGATGAAGTTTATCAGGATATCCACCCTAGTTACCAATTCTGCGTCAAATTCCTCAGGGTTTGTGGTTCTGGTTAGGATGCTCAGAGGTGTAAGTTCGTAAACCTGCGATTTTAAATCACTAATCTGCGTTGAAAGTTCAGATATGTTGGCCAAATTTTCTGAACATCCTGCATTCATAGCCTCACTACACCTTATATCCCACATCTCAGTTTTCAGCTCTTCTACAGACAACTTAGTTGTTCTATTCCTGAAGTAAGTGTTGATGCTGGAATCGGTATCTGAAGTTTTGTTACACGTAAACAAAGTGTAATGAGAAGGTCTATGTTAGTGTGGTGAGAGCTGGCTGCGAACAAGCCAAAATTGTAAGCAACAATTTACATCAGTGTTACGTACCGAATCGGGGTCCTGAGAAAAACAATAACAAAACTTAGCCTTGAGGAACTCACCAACCAGTCACAGCTGACTTAACGTGTGCAAAAAAGTTCCCAGATATATGGCTTAACTTTCTGAGGAAAGGTCACAAGCAGTAGAGAATAACCTTTAGGAATAGAACAACCAATCAGAAGGCGTTGCTCCTCTGCTGAAAATAATGTAAAAAAATCTACGATATCTCCTGATCTTATCAATAAACGATCTGATGCTTGGCCCTTGCCATCTGTCGTTAAATTAGGACCAGGTGCTGAGTTCGTAGAAGCGATGGTACTACTAGTTGTCAGCATATTTTTGCTGTCACTTCCAGCCACGATAGATGGTATTATCGCGGTAGCTCGACACTTGAGGCATTTTGGCGAGCTGTGTGACTTAATGCCATATTTTGTGGGAGGTGTGTTGCTTGTTGTAGCAACCAAATATGTGCTGTCACTCATCAGGTTAACAAGTGACTGAGTTCGTGGACTTTATATACGATTAACTATATCTAATTAGTGGAAGAGCCATTGGTTACAGGTATGGCACTAGAGAAACACTTTAAAATCTAACTTAAACGCTGAACGTGCAGCCTAAAATAGTTCCAAAGCCACCGGTAAGCACGGCATTATTTTGACATTAATATTATAATAAATAATGTAGATAGGTTTATGGGACCAGCTTTGCAATGATAAAGAGATCTCATGATGGAGGTTTTTCAGTTATTCATCATATGTGCCAACAATAATCTGAAAACCTACCAAATATAGGTTCTAGTAATTTCAACACTCTGTTTAAGCGTAGAAAGCAGAATTACTGCATGTATGAAGTGCTCAAGCGCAATAAGTTTGAAAAGAGAAGAGGAAACAGCAAAAGGGGGTGTGGAGGTAGACAACGAATGTCGACGATTTGAAACAAACAACATACTATTGACGCAGGGTTTGTTCACCTTTTTATTACCAAGAAGTTATAGCCATTGAATTTTACAGTGAGTTCTACTGAAGGTTAGTCCAAGTGTATGGTATTATCTAGTTTAGTTCCTAGAGGAACACAGGGCTTCAGCAGCACGTCCACATTGCGTTCGGTTCTCCACTAACGTTTTCACTTCACTCCACGT